CACTGAGTAACACCATAACTTAATATTCCAATTACCCGATTCTTAAAGAATTTTTTTCTCTTGGTTACCAGTGCCGTTGCATGGGCAGAGGAAGGCATTTGGGTGGTACAGCTCATTTCCTCAGGCCCTTGTGCTACCCATCAAAGTCCTGTACTTATCAGGGTGGGCAACTCTGCCCCCCTTAACACCACCTCCTAATTTTTAAATCAAGAGGTCACTTCTGGATAGATGTCAGACCTCCGCAGGGTTCCATAAACAAAACGAAACAAAAAAGCAATAAACTGAGGTCACTGTGTGAAAAAAAAAAAAAAACTTGCACTAAATGGAGCCCAGCTGGTAATGGATTGCCAAAAATGTTGATCCAGACATAGCACTAATCAATACCAACTGCATTTAAATATTGGTCGTTTAGTTGCAAGCTCAGTCAGATACCCACAGAAGTGTTAAAGAGGAAGAAAATTCTTAGGCCTTTCTGAAGTCTCAGAAGAGATATTGGCTGAGGCCTAAGAAGATACACAAGCACCTCTTCAGCTCCCAGTGGTCTTGACAGAGTCGATTATTCAGGGAACGCATATGAGTGTGTCAAGAGGGACAAGGAAATAATACACAGATAAAAGGAAAGAGAATAATGGAGACATTCATAAATTTCTTTTACAGTTTCAGTCTAGCCACTATCCCACGCCGCAATGACAAGGACATAGTGTACCTTGGAGCTGACTTTCCAACCCCCTTCCAGAGCTGCACATGCTTTGTGGGCCCCTCTCTTTACCACCAATGATTCCCCATTGCTAATGCTGTCCTGATTTCCTCTCCGGCCCGTATGATAACAGGGCTCTGTGCCTCCAGTTCGCTATGTCTCCTCCTTCTATTCCCCTACATCTCTCTCTCATCCTCTGTCAACTCTGTAGCTAGAGCAGCTTCCCAAAATGCATGCTGTCTGTCTGAGTTAGGATTAACATTGCTGTGCTGAAACACCATGGCCAAAAGAACTTGGGGAGGAAAGAGTTTGTTTCACTCACAGTTCCACGTAACTGCTCATTATCAAAAGTAGTGAACGGAGCTGCAGCACTAGGGAGAATTGACCCCGTCCCTCCCCAAGAGCAGCTTCTGCACCTCATCTGGGCAGCACTGCAGAGTTGTCCCTGTTGGCGTGGGTGCAGGTGAGCTGGCCCTCAAGGCAGGAGAGTAGGAAAGCTAGACCTACTGTTTGTCGGGCGGTGGTGTGGGCAAGGGAGAGCTACTCACCTTGCCCCTTGTCCTTCACTGCTGGTGGCAGGTGGGAAAAGCTGGTCCCGGGATCACAAGAATAGGAGAGCTGACCTTCACTGGCTGCAGGACTCCTGAGAGCAGGTTCTGCACCCTGCCCTGGCAGCACAGAAGGCCTGACCCTGTTGATGGGAAAGGGGGCGCAGGTGATGCGCCCCTGCAAAAGTGTGTGGGAAACCTGACCCCAGTTCTCATCTGCCATATGGTAGTGGGTGAGGGAGTGAAAAGCTCCCCCCAAGCCTGTGGTGAGTGGGAGAGCTGGCCCTGGGGTCACGAGAGAAGGAGAATTGGCACCTCACCAGGGCAGCAGAGCAGAGCTGACCCTCTCGGTGGGGGTGCAGAGGAGCCTGCCCAGAGGGTACGAGAGTGGGAGAGCTGATCCCAAATCCTTTGTCACCCATGTAGTGACATGAGTGAGTGAAAGACGCCCCCCCCCATTCCTTGCCACCTGTGACAGAGAGAGTTGGCCAAAGAAAGGGTCACTAGAGCTGGAGATCTGGTCCCGCCCCTCACCAACTACAGCAAGCGAGAGAGCAGGGCCCTGCACCTAACCCTAGACCCTGCAGGCGGGGGTACAAGCGAACTGGTGTTGTGGACAAGAAACGGGAGAGTGGTACCTACTTCCTCCCTTGTATGTGGTAGCATGGGTGGAGGACAATATACCCTCCTCCCAGCCCTTGCCAACTGCAGCAGGCCGGAGAGCTGGCTTCTGGGGCACAAGAACAAAAGAGCTGCCTTTGTTCTTTACCAACTGCAGCAGTCCGGAGAGCAGGCCCTACAGCGCGCCTGGGCAAGACGGCGGAGCTGGCTCTGGTGGTGTGCATGCAGGAGAACCAGACATGAGCAGGAGAGCTGGCCCTGCTCCTTGCTGCCTGCTACAGTGGGTGAGCTAGCTGGGTCAGTGCTGGAGAGCGCACCCTGGGGGTGACTATGAGGGAGGTGACCATAAGGGAAAGCTGGTGGACTGACCATCCCAGCCACCACCCAGGCTCAGAACCAGGACTATGAGTTATCCTGCCCCAACATCCACCTTATCTGGGATGGGCTGGAGTATGTGAAGGGGTGGGATCTGCAGACCTTTCAGGGTCTACATGACACAGGACAACAACAGGGTATCCAGGAGGAGTCCCAGTGAGGACCCAGTATCAACAGAGTAGCAGAAGCCAGAAGCCTTAAGCCAAACCAACGTTCCATTGCAAAGAATACTTACAAGTAACGATGTATGGACTAAGAGGTATGTGGCTCACTAGACCACACTACAGCTTCCACATTGATATTTTTATTTTGTTTTGCTTTGGGGGGGTTCACAAGGACAGAGGGTAGAGGCAAGGGAATGGAGAAGAATGAGATCAGGATACGTAATATGAAATCTACAAAAAATCAATAAAAACCTTTTTTTTTTTAAGTAGTGAGAGCAAGAACTCAGGCAGGTATAGTGGTGTGGGACAATGGTCTGTATTTTGTCAATTATATTTTAAATAAATGCTGATTGGCCAGTAGCCAGGCGAAAAGTATAGGCAGGACAACCAGACAGTAAGTAGAGGTGGGTCAAGGAGAACAGGTAATTCTGGGAAGAAGGAAGTCCTAGTCCGTCGTCCTGATCCAGCCACAGAACAAGCAAGATGTGACTGCCTCGCCAAAAAAGGTACCGAGCTACCTGGTTAACATAGACAAGAATAATGGGCTAATGTAAGTTATAAGAGTTAATAAGAAGCCTGGGCTAATGGGCCAATCAGTTTATGATTAATGTAGACCTCTGTGTGATTTCTTTGGGACTTAACGACTGCAGGAACCAGGCAGGACAGAAAACCCTCAGTCAACAATATAGAATATGAAAGATGCAGAGGCCATAGAGAGGTGTGGCTTACTGGCTTGTTCCTCATGGTTTGCTTAGCCTACTTTCTTATAGAATCCAGGAACACAAACCCAAGGCTAGCACTACTCACAATGGGCTGGGCCCTCCCCCATAGATCACTAATTAAGAAATTGCCTTACAGGCTTGCCTACAGCCTGATCTTATGGAGGCATTTTCTTAATTGAGGTTCTCTCCTCTCAGATGGCTTTAGCTTGTGTCGAGTTGACACAGAACCGTCCAGCATATTTGCCATGGCCTTCCTGCCTGAAATCTTTGATGCTCTGCTACAGCCAAAGGCAGAAATCAAAGCCTGCAGCCTACAGGCCTCAGTTCCTCCATGTAGCATTCCACTTCCTCTGTGCTGTTTTGCGGATTAGATACTAGAAGGTTCCATACTTTTTAAATTGGAATCTAGCAGGTTGGCCCACAAAATGTTGCACAGCAAAGTAGCCAAGGGACATGAAAGGTAGGGATGGGCTTGGACTCGCCCGCCCTGCTCCCTGTCCCTGAAAGCTCCGGCTTGTCAACCTGCCCTTCAGTTCTATGGCTTAGTGTATAACTTTCCTGAATCCAGTCTCCATTAGATGGTTAAGGTTCTGGGTGGTAGGACCCTGCTTTCTGAGCTCTATATTTACCGTGCCTCAAAGTCCTCAGTATTTCTATTCCGTTTGATTCAGGGCCAGCTCTTTCTGTGTTTACCGTATCTCCTAGGGCTGAGATTCTCTCACAATAACCCCTCAAGCCTCTACATATCTATTCCCCAGATACAGGATAGGGGTTCCACTTCTTCTGTAACGATCTCCGACAGCCTCACATTCAAACCACAAGGTCAGTTCCACATCTTCTCTGGGGACTGTTTTCAGAGCCAACAAGATAGTCCTTTGTCAGAATGTCTGTGTCAGATTCACACGTACCGGTGGTGCTTGCTTCCCTGATTCATACAGGACAGGCAGATTTAGACACTTCCCCTTGGCCAAACCCTGAGACTTTGGAAAACAGCAGACACTAGCAACAGGCATTAGCCCAGAAGCCAGAGCACCCAACATCTAGCTTCCCTCAGGCTCTGGCTAGCCTCATGCCCTTCTCTTCCCGTCAATGTCACAAGATGATATAATGGTCTCTGCCTATGGAGGTGGCTATTCCTAGGCCTGTGGGCCCTCACAGGCTCCATTCCTGACCACTGTACTCAAGTGCCTGCAGAACACCCTCTGTTCACTACTCTACCTGCATGGCAGCGGCCTCTCAGTGACTCACACATCACGTGGCTGGCAATCGCTGTGTCCTATCTCAGAGTCCTGCTCGCCATGTCTTTGTGTGTGTAATTCAAATGCCCTCTCTTGCCTTAACTACTAAAGAGGAAAGGCGTAGTTCAGTGGACCAACGCTTTCCTAGGATTTGAGAGGTCCTAGGTTTAATTACTTTTTCTCCCCTTTTAAATTTCTATTGTTTCGTCTGGAGAGTTCTGAGCTAGCAATGATCTACTAGTAGAAACTTCAGGTGTCAAACTAAGGGACCCACTATGACAGTAAACCACTTTACCACTTGTTCCCACACCATGTGTCACTAACTCATGTGTCCCTCTCTCTCCCTCATAGGTTAATCAGTGGCAGAATCCTCAACTACCATGCCAGTGCTGGTGTCTGTTGCCTCACCTACAGGGCTCTTATCAAGGGTCACCTTTGGCCAGAATCAGCCACAGTCCCCAGTCTTTTTTCATTACTTCCATCCTTTGCAAATGCTCAGGAATAAAGTGATACCAAGAACACCTTCTGTATTTTTCCATGACAAAACACAAATGGCTTTTGCTGAGTGCTCCCAAGTATCCCCCAGACCCCATGACCCCAATCCCAGAAGGACTCCAACAAGCACATCCTCTGACCTCCAGCTCCTGTAACTCCTCTTCCTCCTCCACGTCATAGGACAGGGTGTGGATTTTGATGTCATCAGCTGAGAGGTCGATGAATTTCCCATCGGGGTACTCCAGGCTGTCTTTGGTGGGTGACCGGTCCTCAATGAAGGTGGTCTCACAGCAGTCAGTGGCCACGCCATCCCCCCAGGAGCGGAGCACACCATCTGAGTAGAGGATGATGTTGGGACGATAGTGGGACTCCACGGACTGCTGCAGCGTGTTTGGGTCCAGCAGCTGCTGCACTGGCTCACTCCTGCCTCCTTCCAGGCTTCCTGGTGCTGCACTGGCCACCAGCCTGTGGCTCTGGTACTGAGGTGCTGGGTAAACAGACACCAGGCCATCCCTGCTCTCAGCCATGAAGTTTCTGGTGTTAATTAAGCCATTCCTTTTGCCAGCATCACTGATCTTACTGTGTACCAGAACACTCTTCTGCTCGACGATGCCATCCATGGTAGACTCCCTCCCTGCTGGGCGTCAGGCTAGCAGGCTGTGCTCACTGGTCACACGAGCCCCATAGGACCCATTTCCCTAGAGGAGCAGGAAACAGAGAAAGTAAAAAATTATGCAAAGCTCATCACACAGACCCACATTGCGTCAGAGTTTACTAGGCATCTGCCATGCATAGTAGTTACAGAGTCAGACAAATACAGTCCATCCTGTTCTGTGAATTTTAAAGAGGCTCCATTAATGTGCCATGCAAATGGAGCCAGAAATCGATTACCTGCTTCTCTATGAAGTCTTGGCTTCCAAATGGGGGAAGCTGCAGGAACTGGATCGACTGCAGCCCTACAGAAGCCTCTGCCTGCCAACAGACATCCTGAAGCTCTAAGAAACTCAATCACATTAGCATCCCAATGGTCTACAGAGAAATAGAATTGTGCGTCTGTAGTGGGAATTGACTATAATGAGTACACAACCATTCATTCAAGAAGGAAACATACCAAGGGAAGACAGTTTAAAAACCATACCCTGCACAGACAAAGAAAATAATGACAGGAAGCCCATGCCCCTAGACTGTATGTGGGCACAGTTCCACACTAAGGCATACATCATGCGCTCTTGTGTACCTAGTAGGATGAACACAGACTGCACTTACAAATAAACACCAACTCCAAATTGGTCCCCCTTAGATAATTTTATCACCTAGGCTTGCACAACGTACAAAGAAAGAGAAAGAGGAAGGAGGGAGAGGAAGGAAGTACGAAGGAGACCAGAGCTTAAAGTTCTAGGGAATGTAATGAGTGCATCTCCTCAGATTGCGTGTTAATAGCCATTTTCTGTATAATATCATCTTGTGTGGGCTGAGGAGATGGCACAGTTAGCAAAGTGCTTGCTGTGCAAGCATGAGGCCCTAGTTTCATCCCAAGAACCCACATAAAAGAAGAACGCCAAGTGTGGTGGTCTCTGCCATGGGGGCAGAGACAGGAGGATCCCTGGAGCTCACTGACCAGCCTGTCTCCCTGAATCAGCAAGCTTCGGGTTCAGTGAGAGGCTCTGTCTCAAAAAACTAAGGTAGAGAAATGACCGAGGAAGACGTGTGACGGGCAAGCTCTGACCTTCACACACATCCAAACACGTATGGAGACACACACACACGAACACGGATCCACACACACAAGCTTCATCTCGGGCTCCTCTGGCACTAACATTTTCTATAACATTTAAGTATTTTCTAATTATAGACGTTTTATTATATGCAGTGGTAAATAGAGTCATCTAAAATTGCACTCTGATGAAAGGAGGAGCGGTAGAGAGGACCTTTGTGGCTAATTGAAAATTCTGAGATCAGATTCAAATAGCGAGGTCAAGCTACAGCAAAAAGCACTGAGAGATAATAAGAATTATTAATGTGAAACCATGGACAGTTTAGAGAGGGGTCACAATGCACCATCACCTCTGATTATGCAGTTTTGACATGCCTGTCTCTGGAGATGTTATTACTATTTGAGAACTAAAATCTTGAATTAAACTGCTTGAAGAGAGATTCTGTAGGGGTGACTGTAACACAGCAAGGGTAACATTTTTGAGGACCACCTTTATGCTTCATGTCTTCCAGGCAACCACAGTGTGCTTCTGGGATGTTTCTGGTCCAGTCTTCTTCCTTTTACAGAGTAGGCTCTGGCCTGTGCTCCTAACTGAGTCCCTTGCACTACTGTGGTCTGGTGGGTGAACTAGCAAGTCCAGCTAAACCCTGAAGACCCAGCTTCTCAGCCTGAATTCCATCTACACAGAACCTTGTAAAACAGTTTTCTAGCAAACACTAATACATTTGTTCAAATTCAACCTTTTAGCCTTTTCCACTGAGTTGTATGCTCTTGGACAGCCAGAAGTAACATTTCCACTGGATGGTGAGCACCAAGCGCCTCTTCTTGACTTTTACCCTTAACGATTCCTGTTGCATTCTGATAGTCAGTCTGACAGCTGCTGAGGTCAGCATCCTTCTTCTCCCCAGACCGGAAGTTATGATCAATCAATCAGTGGCATGTTTTCCCTTTCTAGCACAAGGTATGGAGCCAGCATCCAGGGACTGTGTGTTGAAGTAAACCGTCTTCAGAATTGTGCAATTAGAATAATTGTCTCCCTGAGTTGGCTGTGCACTGGAGGGGGCTTCAATAGGAAGGTGTGCTGTGGCAGAAATGGCTTCATTTCTTTCATTGTCCCTGTAGCTTGTTGTTCAAAGTGAAACCTGAGAGTTGGTTAGATCTTAGTAAAAGAGCTGCAGTAGAGCTCAGAGAGACAGAACACAGTGCACACGGGGTCCTGGGTCCATCCCCTGATCCACACATGCATACAGGACACATGCAGAGCAGAAACTGCAGCAGATACATACCTTTTGAATCACAACCTACATTCTAAATATGATTTCTGCATCTCAGTCTGCACATGAAGGCTTAAGGTTGGGTGAGCTGGCGGTGGGCTTATACTAGTCTATAGCAGTGTTATGTAGCAAGTTTCTTGATTCTATAGCTGATTACTTACTCTTTTTGCTTCTTTATTTTTAGATTATAATATAATTATAATATTTTCTCCCTCCAAACCCTCCCATATACCCCTCTCCACTCTCCTTCAAATTCATGGCCTCTTTTTTATTAGTTATTATGGCATGCATAATATAAATATATCTATATAAATATATTTATAAAAATAATTTTATATAAATTTTATTGCATAAATAATATTTATATAAAATTTTATACTATATTAATATGAGTATAACCTGCTCTGGCCATATAATGCGTCATGTACGGACACTTTCAGGATGACTATTTGGCACTAGACAACCAATTGGTGTGCGCTTCCCTAAGGAAAACCACCTCTCCTGCTCCTAGAATAAGACATGGAAGTAAGAGTGAGACTAGCTAGAAAGAAAACGGGGTCCAATAAATGAGGGAGGGAGGGAGGGAGGGAGGGAGGGAGGGAGAGAGGGAGGGAGGGATGGAAGCAAGAGAGTCATGGAGCTGAATCTGAACAAAACACATGGTATATAAGTATGAAATTATCAAATATGCATTGAACACATGTATGATTTTTTTAAAGAAGAGAAATGTAAGATATGAATGCAGGTCCCACGAATTTTTGAAAGATTTATTATTTAATTGTGTATATGTGTATAGGCATCCGAATAAGAATTCAGGTGTTCCCTGAAGGCCAGAAGAGGAAGCCAGATCTCCTCGTGCTGGAGTTTCAGGAAGATATAAGCTGGCTGACTCAGGTGTTGAGCGCTGAACCTGGATCTTCTGTAAGAACAGTAAAAACCTCTGAGGCATCTCTCTAGCCCCAAGACGAAGTCTACTAATAGCTATTATTAATAGCTAAATGCCTGGGACTGCCTTTAAAATGTTCTGTGTAGAAGGAGTGAGTACTGACATAGCGCTGATGAGGAATTGAGAATTCATGAAATTGGTCGATGAAATATGTGGTCTGCTATATAATTCTCTCTAGTTCCATGCACATCTGCAATTTTCTCTAATAAAGATCATTTGCCGCTCAGTGAAGCTGTGTGTGTAAGGGACACTGCAGACAGAGGGAGAAGCATCAAGCCCAGGCCGAGAGTAGGGGAAGTGCTGGTGGTGGTAGGTGAGCAGAGAGAGGACCAAGAGACATGGGGAAAGAAGGGTGGCGTCTTCTAGGAGGCTTCGCCTTGTTTGTTTTTCAGTGCTGGGTATCTAAGTCTGGATCTGGTACATCCTAGAGAATGTATCACTAAACTGCATCTATATCCCTACCTGGAGGGTCTTGAGTCCCTGTGTTAAGAGACAACCGATGAACTGCAAAGGTTGTTGAGTGGAACGTGCTCATCACACAGGCCATTTAAGTCTTCGGGTCTGTGAGCAGTGTGGGGAATGAGTGCCAGGAAAGAAGAGAAACCCAGATCTGGTACTCCACGGTAATCCCGACTCTACTGCTCAGCTGACTTCAGGGTAGCGAATAGAATATGCAGAAGCCACAGAATATCCTACCAGACCCTTTGAGTTTGCATGACCCGAGAGCCATGGCAATGCTGCTGTGCGCTGTGTGTCCCACCTTTGTGAAAAAAGTCACGATGAGGCAAGCCGAAGAGTCTCCTCCAGTGCGGTTAATGTCAAGAAGAGCAGCTGCTCGTTGCCCTTACTATTGCCCTTACTCCCAAGGGGACAAAACTACCTGTCGGTAAGACTCAGTTTAGCTTCTCCAGTCCTCTGTCATGGGCAGGCTTCTGGTGTGGGAGGCGGGCACGGGGCATGTTCAGAGTCACGAGCTCAGTTCACAAAAGACAAACTCAAAGCATAGCTGGTCCAACTCCAGTGTCTACTAAGGTTAATAAGGCAACTGTTAACCTGAGACTACTTCTGAAGAACCATTGAAAACCTGTTACGAATTTCCTTCCCTAGAAAACCACCAAAATAGAAGGTAACAAAGGGCAACAGAACACACCTGAGTTGGAAGAGGCCGAATTCTCGCCACCTGTCCACTCCCACCTTTGCCTGTTTTCTTTGTGGCTGATTTGGTGATTGATTCTCCATGTTTCTATTGTTCTTAGTCTAGACTTAGCTCTCCATGTAGAGCTTCCTCTGTCTCAACTTTCAAAAAGCCATTCCCCATGCTTCATCCCCTGGATGCCATTCAGGGACCAGGTCCTATTCTTGGTACTGGTAATGCCACTGAGACTCAGCTCATTCTGCCCTGCTGGTCAAATGTTTAATTTACAAATCAGAAATATGGTCCTGGGATGGTCATGTTACTGTACAGTATGGGGCAGATCTCTCTCTCTCTCTCTCTCTCTCTCTCTCTCTCTCTCTCTCTCTCTGTCCCTCCTTTCCTCTTCCTTCCCTCCCTCCATTTTCTGTTACTTTCTCCTTTCATCTCCCCCCACCCTCGTGTGTGTGTGTGTGTTGGGAAAGTTACTTTTAATTCATCAAAACATAATCAACAGAAGAGATAGTTTATAAAATATTTCTAAGTTTATTCATGATGGCACATTTGAAAGACACATGCACAATGGTATTTGGGGTCATGGGCAATCAAGCTAACCATCTTTATCCTGAGGG